CAACACCGATCTCCAACCCTCACGCCCACACGCCCTCACCTGTCGAGATCCTTCAGCCTCACGTTGGAGACTTGATTGAAAGGTAACTTGGAGAAATATGTGAACTGGAAATAGGCCGTGAGATGGGCGCCGCTCAGCCCGAAGTGGAATGTCCGAGATACTTCTGGAACGAGGCACTCCCTTCCCTGCTGCTGGGCGGGGAGGCGCATCCACATGTCCCAGTCGGCGTACTGAGGGAGGGGAGATTGGGGATTAGGGCGCCAGCGTGTATGGGGAGGAGGGATTGGCGCGGGCGTATGAGGGATTAGGGGAGCGTATAAGGGTGTGAGAGATTGGGGAAGGGTATGAGGGATTGGGGAAGGGTATGAAGGATTAGGGAAGGGCATGAGGGATTAGGGGAGTGTATAAGGGTATGAGGGACTGGGAGGCGTATAAGCTTATGAAGGATTGGGGGAGCGTATAAGGGTGTGATAACTGCACAATCCGTGATCGCCAACTCAGGCTATACGGCCACCTGGCTCGCTTTCCTCAGGATGATCCTGCCCATCAGGAGACAACCCTGGGTGGAGGAGGCCTGTGAGACGACCGAGGAAGTCGTGGCTTGGGCAGATCGACCAAACCTGCCGTGAAGAACTAGAAGATGGCCGAGTCCCTGCCTGGCGTCTAGCCATGAGGGATCCTCGTAGGTGGAAGCGAAGGGTGGATGCGGCTATGCGCCCCCGTCGGCGTCAGCCCCCTTGATTGATGATGATGATAAGGGGTGAGAGATTGGGGAGCCTTAAGGCGTATGAGGGATTGGGGGAGTATATAAGGGTATGAGGGTTGGAGCGGGTGTATAAGGGTATGAAGGATTAGGGGGGAGCGTTTATGGGTATGAGGGATTGGAGAGCCTTTAAGGTGTGAGAGATTGGGGGGTGCTTTTATAAGGGTACGAGGGATTAGGGGAGCCTATAAGGGTATGAGGGATTGGAGGGAGTTTATAAGGGTATGAAGGGGAATGGGTGAATATATATATACTATATATAACTATATAATATATATATATATATATATATATATATATATATATATATATATATATACATATATATATATATATATATTATATATATATATATTATATATATATATATATATATTATATATATATATATACACACACATTATACACACACATTACACACACATTGCACACCCCATCCTCCCTTCACCTGATCATGCTGCAGCCACTTCTCGATGACCTCGTCGTAGATGTCCCTCTTCAGGAGCCAGCCCCAGCCCCGCCATAGCGTCTCTGATCGCATGACCACGCCAGGATCTCCCAGGGACTTGCTATTGCTGAGGTCATTCCAGGCGGAGGCGCAGTAGGAGGTAGGGTCGCGGTCCAAGAGGGGCGCCAGCTGGCCGAAGTAACTGTGGGAGGAGGAGCAGGTAGAGGAGGAGGAGGAGAGGGAGGAGGAGAGGAATGAAGAGAGGAGGAGGAGGAGGAAGAGGAAGAAGATGAGAAAAGAGAGGAGGGAGAAGAAGAGGAGGAGGAAGGAAGAGGAAGAGGAGAGGAGGAGGAAGAGGCAGAGGAGGAGGAGGACGGAAGAGAGGCAGGGAGGAGAGGAGAAGAGAAGGAGGGAGAGGAAGAGGATAAGGAGGAGGAGGAGAATTAAAGGAGGAGAGAAAAGGAGGAAGAGAGAGGAAAGAGGAAGGAGGAGGATGGAGGAAGAGGAAAGAGGAGGGAGGAGGTGTGTGTGGGAATCTCTTGCAATCTATTCGGAAGGGTTATCTCTCGTTCTCTATATTTCTCTCTGTTATTTCATTGACATTGGTGAGTGTTCTGTATTTCAATTGTAGCGATTTTTAATTAATCTGCTGCATATTGAATTCCTTATCATTCACCTATATATTTTTTTCTATTCATCTGTGCATCTATTTACATATTCATCTATTCTTTTATCTATGCATCTATTTATTAATTCTATCACATCTATCTATTTATTAATCATCCATCAATTCATCTATTTATCAATTCATCTATCTATTTATCAATTCATCTATCTATTTATCAATTCATCTATGTATCTATTTAATCATCAATTCATTTATTCATCTATTATCTATCATCATCGTTATTCACTATTCACTCTTTCACTCTTCCATTTACTTACTCCCCCTCCCCCTCGACCTCCAGACCCCCTCGTCCCTTACCTGAGAAGTCCGGCGACCACGCGATGGAGGAGGAAGAAGAGGCAAGGGGGAGGGGAAGCAGGAGGAGGAGGAAAAGACGGTGGAGGAAGATGGAGAGAAGGAAAAAAGGAGGAGGAGGAGGAAGGGAAGGAGGAGGAAGAGGAGGAAAGAGGAGGAAAAGGAGGAGAAGAGGAAAAGGGAGGAGAAGCGAGGAAGAGGAGGAGAAGGGAGGGAAGTGGAAGAGGAGGAAGAAGAGGAGGAAGAAGAGGAGGAGGAGGAGGAAGGCGAGACGAGGGCGGGACCGAGGAGGAGGAGGAAAGGGAGGAGGAGGAGGAGGAGGGGGCGGAGGAGGGGAGGAAGTGGAAGGAGAAGGAGGAGAGAGGAGGAAGAGAAGGAAGGAGGAGGAAGAGAAGGAGAAGGTGGAAGAGGAGGAGAAGGAGGAAAGAGGAAAAGGAGGAGAAAGAGGATGAAGAGGAGGAGAAGGAGATTAAGAGGAGATTTTAATCAATCTGCCGCATACCTCCAGACCCCCTCGTGCCTTACCTGAAGAAGTCCGGCGACACGCGAAGGTCCTCCTCGAGCACGATGACCTTCCGAGTCCAGGGGAAGGTCTCGAAGGCCGAGGTGAACGAGAATTTGTAGTGGCGTTGGATGCGGACGGTCACGTTGCTCCCGCCGGCGTCGTGCGCCTTGTACTGCCCAGGGAAAGGGGGGAGGGTATTCGTTCGTCTGTTCGGTTTATTTATCTATTTCATCTTTTTATTATCATTATTATTTTTATTTATTTTTTTTGTACGTCTGCTTGGGGTCTTTCTTAATATATCTGGTTGTTTCTTGTGTATATGTATACATATGCATATATATATATATATATATATATATATATATATAATATATATATATATATATATATATATATATATATATATATATATATATTATATATATATATATATATATATGTGTGTGTTTGTGTGTGTGTGTGTGTGTGTGTGTGTGTGTGTGCATATATACATATATATATATATATATATATATATATATATATATATATATATATATATATATATATACATATATATATATATATATATATATATTATATATATATATATATACATATATATATATACATATTTGTATATATATATATATATATATATTATATATATATATATATATATATATATCATATATATATATATATATATATTATATATATATATATATATAATATATATATATAATATATATTATATATATATATATATATATATAGTAAAGCAAAGTAAAGTAAAGTAAAGTTGTTATGCTAAGTTAAGTTTAACGTTAAGTGAAGTGAAGTTAGGTAAGGTAAGGTTATATTTGTAGGGAAATGCAAGAGTGAGAGTCCGTAGCCTCACAATATATGAGATTAACGTTCTGCAATTTCCAGGCGAGGTTCTGAAGGAAGGGAACAAGCCACTACCGCAGCATCCCGTGGCATAGTCAGCATGTTCTTCTAAGAGTATGTTCCCTACTTCTGATGAGATAAGGGACCCACTCTGATTTTGAATTCCGTGTCTCTTTTTGACATGTCTCTTGTCGTCCACTTGGATAAGGTATCCACTTTGACCTTGAATATGGTGTCTCTTTCAACATGTCGTCCACTTGGATAAGGTACTTTGACCTTTGTGCCTCTTTTTCAAAATGTCAAATTGAACTGTCTCTTTCAACAGAGGTTATTCGAGGTCAGAGGAATTAAATCTTGCACGACCTTACCTTGACACCGTAGAGGGCGGCCAGGTCACGCACTTCGTCCAGCGATCCGTCAGAACTTCCGTCAGCAACGACGAGTATCAGCTGAGGGTCGCTTCCCGCTGCTGACATCAGGTGCCGCAGACACCTTCAAGAATGGAATTGCATGTAGGTCTATCTCTCTGTGGCTCTATAAACATCTGTAAACACACACACACACACACACACACACACACACACACACACACACACACACACACACACACACACACCACACACACACACACACACACACACACACACATATATATATATATGCGTGGGCGTGGGCGTGTTCACGTGTGTGTGAATGTGTGTATTTGTGTGTATATATGTGCATATACGATTGTGTGTATATAGATAGATAGATAGAGAGATGTACAGATATATATTCCCGTGCATGTGTATCATATTATATCTTTCGCGCATTATTTTTATTGCTATTGTGAAATTTAAATAAAAAAAGGAAAATTAACCTGTTGAGGAGAATCGGCCTCGTGCTCGCTACGATGACCGTTGGAATGCCGGTCTCCACTCCGTCCTGAGGGAAAACATTATCATTTTATGAACTATTATTATTTTATTATCATTATCATTATCATTATTATTTTTACCATCGTTTTCATTATTATTATTATTACTTTATTTATCTATTTACTTTTTTAAAAATCAATCTGTTCCCAGTTTTCAGTCTTTTTTTATAAGCGCACTTGACGCACTTTTATGTGCATTGTTGTCTACAATCATTATTGCAAACCAACAAGCAAAAAAATAAATTAATAAATGAATAAAAAAAAAACGGGTCCAATATTTCTTCTCGATATCTGAGATATTTCACAGCTTATGCAAGATTTTTTTCTCTCTTAAAACTAAAAAAAAATCTCAAAGAAAAAAGGTAACACATGCCCTCACCATTGCAAGGGGAACGTGTCTATGCAAATCCTGAGGTGCGCTGCAATTGCACAGACTACCGTAGCCCTCGTAGCGTTCGCAGAAGGCTCGTCGAGCAGCCCACGCATTCCCTTGGAACGTAGTTGCACACATGTCAGCTGCAAAAGGAGGATTTGCATACATTCGCAACCTTTGTTACGCACTGTGGCACTGCAATTGCTATGCTATCGCAGCCCCTATTCATCGAATAGACCATGGTTATGTTTAAGTTCATTTGAGTGTATGAATGCACTGTGTCTTGTAACAATTATTGTGCCTTTTATAAATCCTATCATAATTCGTATCAAACTTTTCTAGTAAATTATATAAGATATCAGGTAGCTCCTTTACAGCTTGAATAACAATGTAGCTTCGTTATTATTCGCGCAGTAACTTCTAGAACACAAGTACCGATACGTTTATTAGCACAGGTCTTCATGTAGTCCCTAAGAGACCATGATCGGTAATTAAGTGTATATTCGTCCGTTTGGGCCAATTTTCAGGTTTTCCGGGGCTAATGATACCCATACAGGTTATACTGGTATGAATGAATCTTAGAGTCTTGTAAAGAAACTATAACGGCCTTTCTTATTTAATGGCGTGTGCTTGGGTAGTTTGGGGTAGTTTGATGAGCTTCTGACATGGAATAACAAAGGGAAATCTAACTGCCTATCCGTTAAATGTTATCATCGTTTCTTGTACCTTTGTCTCCTATGAATATTATACACTCTACAAACACAACCAGTCAACCACTCTCTCAGTATAACACAAAAAAAAGGTGATAAAATGATACGCACCGTTCTCAGGCCGACGGGGTAGGTTGGCGTACAGGTGAATCGTCGATCCAGGCCTAATTAAATTGTCCGTCTTTGGGGTACTGAAGGTCGCTCCTTCCGCCCATGTACGCCCACCTTTCGTCCCTATCCACGCCCATCTAAAGTGTACGAGCAGTGTTGTCGTATTATTATTCACTGGTGGATTGGGGGGAAGGGTATTAATGATAAAAATGGGATATTTTGGTTTTATGTCAGTCTACCCTTCATTTTGCGGAACGTTTGTTTCAGTTTTCTTTAATGTGTGAACAGGAATTTCTGATATCTGTTTTTGTTTGTCTGTCTACGTGCATTTCTCCTTCCACTTCTTTCAAATGCTCTTCTCTCTCCTTTCTCCCCTCTCCTCTCCCCCTTTCCTTCTACTTTCCTCTTTCTTTCCCTACCACCCCTTCATTCCTCCTCTCATCCCTTGCCTTCCCTCCTTTCCTCTCTCTCTTCCCACCTTCTATCCCTCCTCTTCACCTTCCATCCCTTCTTCCCCTTCCATTTCATTCTCCCCCCTTCATCCTCCCCTTTCCTCCATCAGTCCCCTTCCCCTCCCCCTCCTTTTCCCTTTCCTTCCTTAACCCTCCCCTCTGCCTTGCCTTATCCTCCCTTTTCCTTCCTTCTACCTTCCCATAACCTTCTTTCATCCTTCCATCCCCCTCCTTCTCCCCTTCCCTCTTTTCCTCATCCCTCCCCATTCCCTCTTCCCTGCCTTCCTCCATTCCCCTTGCTACTCCTCCCTTCCCTCCATCCCCTCCCCTTCCTCATCCTCCATCCTTCCCCTCTCCCTCCTTCCCACCATCCTTCCCCTTCCTTCTTCTACCATCCACTCCTCCCCTCCCCTTCCTTCCATCCATCATCTTCCCCTCCCCCCCCTTTACCCATCCCTCCCCTTCCCTTTTCTTCCTACCATCCTCCCCTTCCCTCCTTCCATCCTTTTACCTCCATCCTTCCCCCTCCATATCCCTCCCCTCCCCTCCTCTCACCTGTCACCCATAGCCATGTCTGTGATGATCCTGGAACCCTGCTGCGCCAGGAAAGCCTCCACGAGTTTGCTCAGTTGCGCGAAGCCCTCGTGCTGTTGGGGTAAAATGTTAAGACGTGGTGGTGGTGAACATAAAAGGAAGGATTATTATTATTATCTTCAATCATCATCATTATTATCATTATCTGTGTTGTTGTTATGACTGTTGTTGTTTGGTTATTGTATTGCTGTTAAAGTGCTATTGTTGTTATTGGCCCCATTGTCATTATCATTATTAGTATCGTTATTGTTATCTTTATCAATATTACTACTATTAATTTTATTACTATTACTCCTCCTCCTTATCCTTGTCCTACTGCCTACTCCTACTCCTACTCTCTCCTCCTCCTCCTCCTCCTCCTCCTACCTACTACTACTACTACTACTACTACTACTACTACTACTACTACTACTACTACTACTACTACTACTTCTACTGCTACTGCTGTTATTACTACTACCACTACCACACACCACACCACCACCTATTACTACTACTACTACTACTACTACTACTACTACTACTACTACTACTACTACTACTACTACTACTACTACTATTACTATTACTACTGCTACCACTACTGCTACAAGTACTACCACCACCACCACCACCATCACCACCACCTCTACCACTACTATAACTACTACTGCCATCGTCATCACCATCACCACTACTACTTCTGCTACTACTACTACTACTGCTACTACTATTACTATTACCATTACCACCACCACAACTACTACTACTACTACGACTACTACTACTGACTACGATTGTTATTTGCATTTTTTATTATTATTGCTGATATCATCATTGTTATTACATATATTATTATTACCCCTACAACTCCCACTATTACCATATACTGATATTACAATCATCATTATTAATTTTGATTATCAATATATCAATTTCATTATCACACTCATCGTCAATTATTCACTCTCGTTATCTATGTTGTTAATATAATCATGGAAATCATCAATGTTATCATGATCTTCATTACTACCTCTGTCAATGTCAATGACGTTATTGTTATGATTATCATTATTGTTATTAGTAGTAGTAGTAGTAAAGACAGGTTCAAAATGGGCGACCTTTTGTGTAGTAATGTATATGTTTACTGAGCCCTGTATACGCGAAAATAAATGGTGATGATAAATGAGTGAAGTAAGAGTAAATGGCAATGACATAAAATTGAAGTAAAATTAAATGGTGATGACATAAAATTGAAGTAAAATAATATATAACTGAAGTAAAATTAAATGGTAATGGCATATAATTGAAGTAAAATTAAATGGTAATGGCATATGAAAAATTAAATGGTGATTATATATAAATGAAGTAAAAATGAAATGGGGATGACATATAAATGAAGTAAAAGTAAATGATGATTATAAATAAATGAAGGAAAGGAAAGACTGTATCTCAATATCATCAAAATCGTAATTTTCTTATAATCATTATTAACATCTTTATTATCATCAATTCTACTATCTTCATGATCATTACCAACTCATTACTATTGCCATTATCATTGTCACTTTTGTCATCACCATCATTATTGTTCACCTTATAATAATGGTAATCATCGTCAAAATCATCATTATCGTAATAATTTAATTATCTTGGTATTCCTTCTCTCATCATTAGGATTATAATTATTACTATTATCCCCGCAACTGCTAGTCCCATCAAACCATGATTGTTACTTTTATATTGCACTATATCATTTCATTAATATAATTAGTACATTTATTGGAATTAATATTAAAGCCACTTGACTTAAGAAATTTACAGTGTGCTCATGGTCTATAATCAGTCCTTTGTTGTAGGTTGTATAGCATAGTATAGAATAATCATTTTAAGGCATTTGTATTTTGGTGGGATCTTAAATCTTAAATGGTAATGACATATGATTAAAAACAAATGAAAAGCAGGTCGAGTGAAGGTCCATATCGTTTTTTTAATGGAGCTCAATGGTTACTTCTCCTGCTTTAAACAAATTTATTTTCAACGAAAACAAAACAAAAACAGTACCAGGCATTGATTAGGTAAGTAAACAGTCTGTATAACGCCGATATATACAAATTCGATACACATCACATGAAATAGACCACATGCAAGAGGGGTTGTTAAATGGCCAAAAAAGGAACAGTTATGCTAATGAAGCGATGGCAGCATATCACAGACCATTTCAGGACTTTTGTGCCGATTATACAGATATCTGTTGTTGTTTATTATATATATATATATATATATATATATATATATATATATATAATTTTTTTTTTTTTTTTTTTTTTTTTTTTTGTAAACAATACTCAAAACCTGCAGCTGTTGTTTTGATTGACTTTGACACAATGGGAATATATGGACAGGGGGTTGGATACTGTTTGTGAGGGCGATCGCATACCCTTCTATGGAACGGGGCTTTTGGGTGAATTAAGCTGAAAAAAAGGATAACTGGGTAAAGGAGAGAGGGGATAGGAGAGATAAATGTCCATATGAAGCATATAAGAATGGATGGATGGATGGATGGATGGATGGATAGGTGGATAGATAGATAAATAGACTGATAAATAAATAGACTGATAGATAAATAGACTGATAGATAAATAGACATAGATAAATAGATAGATAGACAGATGGATAGATAGATGGATAAATAGATAGACAAGTGGATGGATAGATAGATGGATTGATGGATAGATAGAGAAAGAGAGGAGCAGAATGAGAAAAAAAAGGATGAAGAGATGGAAACCAGTGGAAAGAAGGATGTGATGAGCACCATACAAAGAGACGGACAGACACTTACCATGGTGGCCAAAACGAGAACCTTCCCTGGCTGCACGTCCCTCATGATTGCCATGACCTCCGCGTCGCCTGACACTTCGAATGTCCTGTGCCTTGACACGTGCATGACAGCTCCCGTCGTTGGGTGCAGAACAAAGAGGTACATGCCGCCCTTACTCATGAACTTGACGTCACTGAGCTCCATGGTCACGTGATACACCTGATGAAGGTTAATTCGTCAAAAAAAATTATAAAAAATAATAATAATAAAATAATAATAATAATAATAATAATAATAATAATGATAATAATAATAATAATAATAATAATAATAATAATAATAATAATAATAAAATAATTAAAAATCTAGAGTATCTAATATATGCAAACATGTAAGGGTATTATAATCTTGCCAAATATGACCGTCACGATGCTGTCTTCATTCGATGCTCATTTCATATATTTATGAAAGTAATA